AATCATTACCACAAACAAGACCCCTCCAATTCTTTAGGTGCCTTTTTAAGTAAGACAAGGATGTGTCATTAGAAATTGTATTATCCATGGTTATGGTAAACATATTTTGTATGCCCCATTCTAATAAGCACCTTTCAATTGTCTTGCCTATCGTATCACCCTTATGATTCTCAACCATGCATAAACTAAGAATCCTCTTATGCAAGTTCCAATCATTATCAATGAAATGGGCTATCAAACATAGGGAATTGAAGTTTTGAACTACTGTCCAACAATCTATAGTGAGGCAAAGACAATTAATACACTTCTTCAATAAATTTTTCAAGATTCTAATTTCACCAAGATACAATTGCCAAGCATCTCTAGCCACTGTTGTTCTTGAAGGGATTTGAAATCGTGGTTCTAACTCCTTCACAAACTTTTTAAAGCCTTCCTTCTCAACAAGCCTAAATGGCATCTTATCACATATGATGAACTCAACTAGAGCCCTGCGATATCGTTTCTGATTGAACATGTGAGGTACTAAGCTTCCCTCTTGCCCACTTGGTATCACATAATTCAACATAGATTGCTTTGTCATTTGTGTAGCTTTATATGAATTCTTGGGACACTTTAGTACATACCTCTTTAAGGATGTTAAACCATTCTTGCCTGGGTCATAAGCATAACCTAAATTACAGTACTTGCATGCAGCTCTAACTTCTCCATTTGTCTCCACCAATGGTAACTTAGTAAAGTGTTCCTAGACTTTTGATACCTCTTGCAGAATTTTTTCTCTTTCTACTACCTTCTGTAGCTTCATTTTCAGTTACAGTTGTAAGAGGAGGAGGACATTCCATAGTAGTTGGGGGTTGAGGAGGAGGAGTAGGTGTCAAAGATGGTCCAGAAGGAGTTGAACTCATATTTTCACCAGTAAAAGAAGATGATTGAGGTTGGTCAATGCTGGTTGTTTGCTCAATATCCATCACTTCATAATGATAAAATATAATTCAGAGCATATAATTGACCAATTATAACAGCATAGTGATAAAAAGGAAGCAAAATAAAAAATTTATAACAGCACAAAATCATGGCAGGGAACACAAAAGCTAGAAAATGAGAGCATATAATTGATAAGGTGATTACTAATAAAAATTAGCCTACAGAAATGTCCTTTGAACATATTAACATAGACATAGGGAAAAACTGTGTAACAAATTTCAATCCATATTAAGGATCGTTCAAAGTGATCACGCAAAGTCATGGGAAAAAAACACATCCACATCCACTTCAATCACGCAGAGTGATCAAGGAGAGTTAGGGGAAACTTCTACAACTACTTTTCAACTGAAACCTTTATATTTGGTCACATTTTTTCTAATGCTTGATCGCAAGAAATTTCATTCTGAGTTGATTTTTGAACTATAAGGCTACAAGTGTAAAACGAACAGGGGTGGGGCAATAGGTAACAGGACATACCTTTACAAGAAACCTCTAAGAAGATGAGAGCAGGGGTGGGGCAATGGGTAACAAGACATACCTGGTGAGTAAAGACTATGTGCTCAAAGGTACGAGAATGGCAGTGAATCAAAGGTTAGGGGTGATGGGGACCAGGGGTGGAGCGATGGTGTGATGTGCTCGACGATGAATCAGATGCGGGAGGCGATGATAAATGTGACCGACGGTGGTGGCACACTGGTGGAGTAGCAATGAACTAAAGCTCACCAATGTGATTAACTGCAAGATAATGGCTCGAGCGAGAATGGAGACTAGAGAGCAACGAATCAAAGGTTAGGGTTGATGGAGACTGGGGAGCAAGGGACTAAGGCCTGGAGGTCACCGACACGAATGGAGAGCAATGAACCAGAGCTCACTGATGTGATTGACAACTGCGAACTGGAGGAGGCAAGGGCTAGGGTTTTGGCGCACTGGAGAAAGAGAAACTAAGAAGTGAGAATGACCGCCTATAGCTTGCTTGAGCCTTGAGTGCGTGGCGTGCACCATGCAGTGTGCTGGTGCTGTGTCTTGTGTAAGACTGACTTTAATTAATGATTTATAAATTAATTTTAATTATATTAAATTAATTATATAAGACCGAACCAAATCACTTAGTCCAAATGCTTGGTCTTTAGTCTGATTTTACCTGAAAAATCAATCCTGTCTTTTGAGTCTTTTTGGTCCTACAGGACCAATATTTTATAATGACGGTGGATGTAACACCCTAAATCTGGATGTTACAGCGGACATTATAGTGGCGTTGTTTTAAAATATTTCCGATAATTCTCTTTTGCAATCAAACCGGTGTAAAGCATGGATGTTGAGGTTGCTGGGTATCATATAGAGAAAAGAAAACGACAAAGTTTACGGTGAATTTGTAGGCAATGAGGGTAGGCTACAAGATACGCATGATAATTTGTGTACGTGGTCCAAGTGAAACAGGTGTGAAATGGGTGTTCGATTTCTGTTTTCTAAATTGGCCTTTCAACAAACGAAAAAAGATTTCTGTTTTCTAAGAAACTGTTTTTCTTTTTTTTAAAAAATAAAATAAAAATAAAAAATATTGTTTAGAAAAATGTTTTTGATTTAAATTTTTTTAAATTTATTTTTATCTTTTGATTTTAAAATCAAAAAATAAAACGTTTTAGAGTCATTTTTTTTTGTTTTCTCTATTTTTTAAAGACATACATTTTACCAATGAGCGTTAGATTTAGCAAAAGGAACTAAGCTCATTATAATATGATAAACTAAAGTTTAACTTTTTATTAAAAGAAACACTCATATTTACTATTCAATCGTACCTTGGATAGAATTATTATTTTTTCAATAGGAGGATACAATCACACAAACAATAACACTATATTTGACTATAAAAAAAATATTATTGAGATAAAATCAGACACTAAATATAAATACACCTCCTAATATAAATTTAAACATTAATCTGTTATGTTGTAAAGGAATAATTCCTTCTATTAAGGGAGAATGATGTTAAAGTCTCACACAAGAGAATTAATTATTGCAGGGTTAGTCCAGTTGTCAATGGACCCTGCAGTAATTAATTCCCTTGTGTGGGACATAACTGTAATTCTCCCTTCTATTAAATCAAACCATCATTGGTATAAGCTACCACTATTAATTACTAGCAAATACTACTATTGGTCAACTTTTTAACTCCAGTTTTTAAAATTAACATAATCAAAAATAATTTTTATTTAGTGGTAATCTCATAAAGTAGTTTTTAAAATAAAAATATAATGAAATCAAACAAACCTTAAATAATTTCATTTTTTTTTATTTAGTGATAATCTCGCCAACTTAAATATCCTCAACAGCTTCAGAAAATTCAGATGAGGAGGGAGGGCCATGTTGAACGTTTAGGGTTTAAGATCTCTCGTTGAGTTTCTATATTTCGAAAAAAATCTGAAGGTGGCTTATTAAAAATTATTTGTTAAATAATATTAAGGAGAGAAAATATATGAGAAGGGTAATATTAAAAAACTATTATTAGTAATTATTTTTTTCAAAGTATCTTATGTTTTATAATATCAATTTTTTTTTAAAATAACTAAATTAACATAATAAAATTACTTATATTCATATAAAATTTATCACAATAACAATAATTATAAATTCATCTTAATCTCCAACAACAACAAACATATTTCAATTACAATACATAAGATTTAAAGTAAATAACATTTAACATGTCTAAAATTCATTACACTAAGTTAACAATAAATTTCATCAGTAAAAGGAGAAGAATAAAGTTATTCAATGCTAAAATTTTGCTCAATATTGATGACTTCACAAATATAAAACACAAAAAATTACTAATTATTATTATAAATTAACTTATTATTATAATAATTAATAAAATAATTATAATTATATTAAATAAATTTATATGACTAGACCAAACTAAGTGGTCTAGATGTTCAATCTCTTATTCAATTTAGCCTAAAAAACGAGTATGATCTTTTTTGTCTTAAAAGAATAATTTTTATTTGAATTAGATTGAAAAAAAACTTTTGCACAACCTACTTATTTTATACCCAAACGACCCTTATGATACTGACCATTCCAACGAAATGAAGCGGAAAAAATTGCGTCCATCTTTTCCCATTTCAATCACGGCAAACTCTGGCAAATAATTGCGTGATAAAGAGAGAAGTTATTCATTCGATTCCCTTAGAAGAAAAATTAAACATTCAGTTCTATAATTTTATTTAAAACTTTGTTTCTAAACTTTATATTTAGTATAACTTAGTCCCAATAATTATAATTATCCACCAATTCCACTGTTATTTTTTTTTAATATACTTTCATGAAGTGCTTAGGGAAAATTTCTTGGATAATAAAACTTTTAGTACTGTAAATTTATTTCAACTATTGATTTGATTTTGCAAGTTTAATTTTCATTGATTTATCCCCTCATATTTTCTTAAATTATTTGACAACTTGACATGGATATATAACTAGATGTTAACCCTTACAAGCATTTTTTGAAATTTAATAACTAAAATTTTAAAAGGTAAAATTATAAAGATTAAGTTTCAAATAGATTGAAATTATAAAATTGAGTTAGACCAAATTAAAAGTTAAGAACTGAACTACAAGTTTTTTTTTTTTTTTTTGGGCCAGAAACTGAGCTCAAACTTTTGGAACTAAATGATCAATACGCCTAAATTATGTTTGTTTTCAGTTTACAAATAACAAGAGGCTATTGTTCAGCTTTAATACACAGGAAACTCAGGAAAATTTTAAAATTTGCTTATAGACAGTGATATAAAAAACTAAGTTAGAAACACACAAATTTGCATATAGACAGTGATATAAAAAACTAAGTTACAAACACACAATCTCTATCAACATGCCCAAAAAGAAAGTAATAATATTCATGACCTCATCTTAGTTCCCATACAAACATCAATAGCCCATTCTAATTGGAATCAAATTTATCGAAGTTATTCAATCAATCATATTTAATGTTGGTTAACTTTAATTTATCAAGTTTAAGAACATTATTAAGAAAGGGACAGAGGTGAACGATTCAAATATATGAATTTAAAGTAGATAATGACGCCTGAATATTAAGATAACGCAAAATATCAATGAAGATTCATGAAGATGAACTGATAAAATAATAACAGCTCGAGACCAGAACCATAAACATCAGGCACCATTACTTCACTAAACTGGTAGATTTTACATCACCTCCTGTAAACACCTAGTAAGAACCATTCTAAAACTCGATTCTCTATCTCTCCTTAAGCCGCCCTAATCTCCTATTTGACACATCTATCATACACTTACATTCGAATTCCTACTCAGACGGTTAAGAACAGTTTAAAAATGCTTTAACCTTTCTAAGCTCACTTGGATATATCAGCGCAGAATCTAAACACAGACCACCTTTGGTGTGGGTGCAATCAATCTGAGTCATAGAGAACTTAACTCTTGTCGATGCATTCCCATTCTTAACCACAAAATCGCCTGCATGGTAAAAAACCCATTTCCCAGGCTCTTTCAGGAAACACTGAGATGAACCGTACTGTCCATATGAAGTCCATAGCTGGAATCGTACAGGCTTTATGTCCCAGCCATGCACATGCTCAGTGTTGCAAACTGTTCGGCCAAGTCGCTTCGAGGCTCGTCCCAAACGTAGTCTGAAGAATAGGCTGTATGTTCCTGCTGGAAATGGAAACTCTACCTCACCATCAACTTCAAACCACCAGATTTGCCGAAGATATGCAACAGTGTGGAACCTGCATACGATGGAAATAACGCAGGTTTGATTCCAATGCACAAATATACTAGACTTGATATTTTAAAAAAATAAAATAAAATAAACTCAATGAATATAAGGTTCAAGACTTGCTTCATCAATTAGAGTAACAAAGGAAGGTTCATTCAACAGCTTATGAGTTTCAATGTTCATCTATCTACATCTACATGTATTTCTTCGCATGAGTATGTCATCATTTGTATGTGCATAACATAATAAGACTATTGGCTTGCTATGTTTTAATCGAATCAAAGAATTGCAGGCATTTCCTTTTGCAATACCACATGCTTATACAAGTGGAAATGGATTGACAAGAAAACTTGCTGTCACTTTACTAATAAGCCCCTTCTAACTTCCTGAACAAAACAAGTTTCTTGAAATTTATCAGTGTACTAGACTCCTCATGACTGAAAGGAGTGGCTCATCTGGATGGCCGTATTTGAAAGACCATAAAGAGATTTATAATGCACAACGAACGCAATACAAATTCAGTCCAAGAGTTACAGACCATATAGTAACAACTGTTGAGAAAATCCAGAATTCAGTAAAGCCCAAGCTCTCAAAATACATAAGGATCCAGCGTCTTAAGGGATAAATAATAGAAGAACCATCAATATATCATCATAAAAAAGAGCCACACTATTCATAAGTCATTAACAGCATAGCTCCTTGCAGACTCTTTTCAATTTCTTTATTCTTTCAATCTAGAACTACACATAGGATTGAAAATTTAAATACTAAAAAGAAGATACAATCTTTCGAGTTACTTTTAAATTACTAGGAAAAGATGTCGAGGTGTTAATGAAAAGGATCAGCAAGTGCAAACTCATCAACAGACCAAAAAATTGCAATAGATTTAGTATTCCTTGTGTAGCGGCATATACATTCACTAATTGATACTAAAAGAAGAGAATCATGGAATTACTACATAAGATAACGACATACACTACACTGGCGAGTTCCAGGGAAGCTCCATAATACTTGAAATTTCAAAAGCAATCTAAAAAGTACTCCGACGTGATAAGAAATAGAATTGTTCCCGTAGCTACAAAAATTTTATACGCTAAGATAACGACAGCTGAAGAATCTCACCGAGATTCTTCAGTCGGGATATGATTCCAATATCTTCGATCATCAATCCCTGTTATTGAAAGTCCCTTAGATGATATGGACAAACAAAGCTTACCGGTGCTTCTATCCAGCCATACTTTCTGCAAAATTCCACACATTCAAACTCGTCAGGGGGAAAAGCGATTCTAGAACTAAATTTTTGTTAAAAAAAAAAAAATCAATTCCTTTCACAACAGAAAAATAAGGATGGGACTGTACTATTCTGAGGGTGACAATCATATGATAACCGTAAAAAGAAAATAAAATAAAAAATCTGAAGTTGCACATCGGATAAAAAACACTAAATAGATGAAAGAAGGAAGAAATCAGAGAAGCCACCCCTGTCCTAAAATCAAGAAATTTCAACAAATATTTCCAATTATCAATCCCTTCAACCTGACACAAATTTTCGTCAACAAAACGCAATAAAAACCCAAACCAACCGTAAAAGGGATGGAGAATTTTCGTCAGGATTAGAGACTTCTTCATTGTTTTAGGAGGAAAAATCAATATAATAAGAACAGGAATTGTCTAAAAGGCTCGATTCAGCAAATCTCCAAATATAAATTCTTTCTTCAAAATGTCTCGGAACCAACTGAATAGCGAATCGATCATTTACCTTAGAGCCTCCATCAAGAGTATTCTTTCGGCACAACCGAGCGTAAATCCCTCTCTTGCCCGAATCGCTCTGAAAATCATCGAAAATTTTCTTAACAAGAAGATCACAATTGGGAGGCAACTTCGATTGCCACACAAAATCGGCCCAGGACGCCCCACGGAAAGTCCGATTCAACCTAGCCAATTCACAAATCTGCGGGGGATTCATATATTCGAGAATCAAAGCCACGCAGCTCTCAGGCAAATCACCCAAAGAGGGTTTCGAGGGCACAATCGGAGATCCATTCAGGTCCGGAAGCAAGGAGGAAAAGCTGATTCCCATCATCAAGCGAGGAAACACAGAGAAGGAGGAGAGAACACTAGAAGGTTCGAAGATTCCGAGCAAATAAGCTTTCATACAAATCAAAATAAAACGAAAGAGAAAGAGAAAGAATGAAGAGAAGAAAAAGTGGAGGCAAGCGTTCAGATGTAGGTGGCATCCATTTGTTTGTTTCCAAGGAAAGCGAATTCGACAGTGGATATTGACTTGGACGGAAAGCATACGACGCCGTGGGCAGGCATGGACGCCTATTATTCATGAGGTGGAGGAAGATGCTTACGCGTGTATATTTATATAGGCGTGCTTTTTTTTTTTTTAAAAAAAATTGTTTACATAAAATATTTGAGATATTTTTTATTTATATTTAGATTGGACTAGATTTGTTTTATAAAATTTAAATTAAATAATTTTTTATCTGAAAATGGTTTACTAAAAACTAAACTGATCAACTACTGGGAAAAACGTAGTTAAATTATGATCAATTTGATCATAAATAAAATATTTTATTAATTTTATTAAAATATTAATTTAACAGTTTATTAAATCAGATGAGTAAATTGATTCCAATCACTATACAAAATTTACATAAAAATATGGGAATGTAAATGGAAATAGGAGTTGAGTGAGTTGGATGGCCCAAAATAAACAGTCAGTTAAACATTGATATCTGTTTTTTGGCATGTCATCATTATTAATTAATCAATAATAATTAATTAGTAAGTGTGTTTATGTATTCCAGTTGGATTTGGATAATGACTATGAACCCCTAAAGTACGTGTATCCATAATTCATTTTAGGAGAAATACTTACATAAATTGAATACACCATGTTATTTATGATTTATTCAATAAAAATATAACATTTAAATAATATTAAATATAAATTAATTTTGCTATTAATAATAGTAGAGAAGAAAAATACAAGAAATCAAACATATGATCAATTTAAAAAATATCACACAATATTTTATTTAGATTACTTGAAATATTTTAATTCAATAAATTATAAATGATGTGGTGCACCTCATCTGCCTACATATTTCTCTTCATTTCATGCATCCTTGGTTAATAGTTTCATTGCCAAATGGTTGCACTCGGTTGGTGAAAGTTGTTATTTTAAAATTTAAAAATTTCTTATATAGACTTAAAAAATTATTAAACAATTTATATTGTATTATAATTTAATAATGTTTACTAAATTATCATTGACTTAAATATTCTCCTGAAGGTTAAAATAATATGAAATATGAAGTACATTATTGGAATGCAACAATAATTTTAGATAAAATAATAACAAGCTCAAAAACAACAATTTTTATTAACAAAAGGAAGGATACTACTCTCACTATTCATTACTTTCTTTGTTCTTATCTATAAGACAAAAAGAAAATAATATTTTTTACTTTACTTATAAATCATATTATTATTACTTTCTATTAAATATTAGTGAGAGAAAATATATAATAATAAAATATATATTAAATATGGATAAAATTAAAAATTTATTAAATTTTTAAGTTGAGTTAATAAATTTATAATTTTTCTCAATTCTAATAAAATATATTAAAAGTAATTTATAAATAACATCAAAATATTATTTGTGAATGAGGTTACTCGTTATATATTTCATATCATACTAAAATTTTACTCACGCTGTGCCCGAGATGTTTTGGTAACTACTGATGATAAATAAAAGACTTTGAATTGATTTTAATATTATAACAAAATTGATTGTTGGTTTAAAAAAACAAAATTGATTGATATGATTTTATTACTTATATTAAGTTAAAATATACATTTATTCTTTTAATTTTATATAAAGTTTTATTTTGATCCTTTCACTTTATACAGTGTCATTTTAGTTTTTAGTTTTATAATTCTAACATCATTAGTTTCATTCTAATAAATTTTTACATTAAAATTTTAAATATAACCAAAATATTATCAAATATTGACATATTAATTTTAATTTTTTTAAAATAATAATGATTGATACACAAAAATAATCATTTAAAATTAATGGTGTTAGAGTTAAAGGATTAAAAAATATTTTATAAAATTAAAAGACTAAATTAAAATCTTATATAAAATCAAAGGATTAAAAATATACTTTAATCTTTACATGAAATATTATTAAGAATATTATGAATGTAAAATCTAGTATGATTGATTTAATTTATTAGATATATCATTTAATATTAAACTGTTCCTCGTGAGCAACGTAAATATTAACGCATGCAATGAATAATATTGATACAAGTAATTACAAATTTAAAAATCTCAATAATTAATGTCCATTACTTTATAAAATTTATCAAGTTTTTAAAATCGAGATGCTGTTGTAATCATTAATGACAAATTGACCAATAGAAGCAGCAATTTTAGTTTGATAATTAATTCTTAATTTGTATTTAAATATTATTAATATTAAAATTGACTATTGTGACTAACTAGTTTTAAAGACAAGTCAATCAATAAGTAATTCTTTTGTTTTTGGAGAAACTCTTAAATGAACATAGTGCATCACGACATCCAAACCAAATTTATTAAAAAAAAATAACATTCATTTGATATTAAATATAAATTGATTATGTTATTAATTATAGTAGAAAGAGAATATACAACAAATTAAATAGACATTTTATTACAAAAATTAAGTCATTAAAAATAACGATACATAAAATTTTATTTAATTGAACTAATGTAATTTTATTGGATAAATCATAAATGATATGATGCATTAGATCCATGCAAGAATTCTTCTTTGTTTTTCCTAAAAAGTAGTAATGCTTTTGTTATAAGCTATATGTAATGAATAATGTAATGTCCGCCTTGATATTAACAACATTCACTACAAACTCACAACAAATAATGATAATTAGGAGCAAGAATTGCTCCTAAATTTATATTAAATATAGAGGGGGTAAACTAATAATCTTTTAAAAATAATTTTAGAATATTTGGGATCCCATAAAAACCTTTTAAATAAGTAGTTTGAACTCAAACTTAACAATTTATAAAGATTTGAGAAGTGCGGAAAAGTTTTTGAAAGCAAAACAATTGAAAATAAGGCAAAAAATGTTATTTTTGAGAATTCTAATGCATGTGCCGCGGCTCGTGTTTCTTACGCCATAGCATGTGGTACAGAAAGGTTAATTTGGCTGTTGTACCATGCATCACAGCTTGCGCGCAATGTGCAAGCGGCACATGTGTCCCTATCATGATGCTGTCATGATAGCTTTTCAGGAAGAATTTCGAATGCACACCATTTTCACATTCGATCTTCGATTAGAGTGATTTAAGTGCCCATGCGAAGCTTATTCAATAAACTAACTAGTGATATAAGTTTCATTACAATTTGACACCATATGAGAATTTTAAACACTCAAATGCAAAAGTTAGTTTTTAAAATGATTTTAAGCATCCAAGTATCCAAAACTCAAAACTTATACCATTAACCCATTTTGAGGCTTGAACAAAGTCCAATCGACCAATATATACCTAATTGAGCATTTAAATGCACATATCAAACACAAAATTTAGCCACTTAATGTCGGTTTCACCCAATATGGCCAAAACACAAAATTACTACTACATACACTATTTGGCCTCTATTGCCACACAATACATCACATATACATTATCAACACATGTATACAATATTCATTGTACTTGTATTAGTATTTTAACCTATCCCCACAAAAATTACCACATATTCACATTATATACAACATTGGGTTAAAATACAAATATCATAGTATAATACAAGTGCAACCAATTAAAATGACATGCATTCCTAATTAGCAACTCGTATTCTCATATAGTTAAGTTTATGTACACACAACCCCAAAACAAAATTGGGCATTACAATTATAATGTAGCAAGTATGCTAGCCCTTGTTCGATTCCTTCCCTTGCTCAGACTTAGCGGCAGAACTAATAAAATGATAACAATGGGGTTAGATAAAAATTTCAATAACTAAGATAATCTACATTATCGATTAACATGCCATGTTATAAATAAGCTTTAAAACATGCATAACAAACACACCATATATAATTCGCCATAATAAAATACATGATCGTTAATCATATGATCCTCCAATACTCTTGAGTAAACCAATAGGCTATTTCACGAAAGTAAACCACATGTATGGTCCCCAAGCTCACCTTCTATGGTAGGACTACCTGACCAAAGCGTCATAAACCACTTACGGACTATATGTTCCCCTTATTACAAGTAATTGGGATATTGTTATTCTAATACTGTATCCTACGGATGTTAACGAGCATAATCTCCAACTCACATTGTTCTAGATACTAAGGAGAGAAAGTCCCCAACATCACACCCCTTTTTTGGGCATTAAGGAGAAATATGAGTTGCACCTGGTGTCCCGAGGTGCTAATAGTGCCATATGGATTTAATCTCCACTACCTCTACTAGAATGACCTCCCACCCTCTAACATGCCATATTTTATTACACATCTAAACCACTTTCTAAGCAAATATAACCAATCTTACCACTGACTTCAAAAATATGAAATTTCACAAATCAATACTCAACTAATTTTCTAAATAGTTAATTTTTACAATATTTATACATATATACATAACAAATCATAAAAGAACAACTTGAGAATAACTTATACAAGGTAATAAATAATGCAAATTATTTACTTACCTCACCCTTTTATTACTAAAAAGGTTACCCGTGATACTAAATCTCCTCTTGTGTTAAAGCAAGTTTTCTCACACCACAATCTACAACAACAAGTACTATATGATAATTTTCAATTAACACAAGTACTATTAGCTATCAATAACATGCCAATTCTCCCATCTTACTCATATTCTCAACAAAGAGGCTTGTCAAGATTTTAATTTATTCATACAATCCCCTAAAGTCTTCCTCTAAATCTATCACAACATAACACTTAGTATCTCAACTTGTCACACCTCAAAATTCCATAATCAAGCTAGAGCTTGATCCAACTTACACCAAACAATAACTAAGCTTCATATTACCACTTATCTAAAGTTAAAAAAATTAAATCAAACTTTTATAGTCAATAAAAAATTTTAAAACATAGACTCATAACTTAATCCATTTAGAGCAAATTCATCTACTTCCTAAATCCAATGAAAAATAGATGTAGAGGTAGAAGAGAAAGGTGGGAAACTTACTAAAGAGTTTAAAGGCCAAATTTAGCTTAAAAAATCCTCCCAAATTGATATCCTATCAGT